GGAGAAAGATAGAAAGAAGAGGCTTTTTTTTTTTTTTTTTTCCCCGTAAACACAAATCTGTTTTGAGTCGACACAATGAGTCAGCAGCACAAGTCTCCCCACAGAGAAATTTCCACTACATTAGGACAAAGCAAGCAGGGTCCCACCGTTTGGAAATAAGGCGCAGCATAAACGAGAGCAGCAAATCCCTGTTTATACTGAATTTTGGAGTCAAAAGCTCACTTTTTTTTTTTTTTTTCTTTTTCCAGAATGCCACCTAACTAAACCTCCCCACAGCCTCATTTGCACCCGGAGGCTGAGCAGAAGATGCCAGGCAGCCCAGCAGAGAAGTGGCCACAAAAATTCAGCACGTGAGATGCTGGGCGCCTTAATTACCAAACTAAAAACACCACAGAGGCGTTTTCAAACACTTTAAACAACACTTGAAAGGGTAACAAAGAAGTATAGTTTAGCAGGCTCCCCTCCACCCCCCCCCCCATTCTAGGTATAATCCAGTTTCTAACTAAAAACCCCAAAATTTCCTCTTTTGAAGCAGGTTGCTCATGCCTGGGAGTACCGCAGGATAACCTGATATGAAGCTGTTGCTCTGATCCGCACGAGCCCCGGGAAGTCGGACACTCCCCACGTGCTGGCCACACATGTCTCTCCTTTCTCTCTCCCAAAAAATGACGGCACTGCTTCCTTTTCCAACCTGCTGAATCACAGGGCGGGCAGGCGGGCGGCCCTGCAGCCCATGCCTGCCCATTCTGCTTTGTCATGGGGGTGAGAGGATATCTGCAAGTTAGAAAAAAAGCACATAATCTGCTAAAAGTACATCCTGCACTGTGATTTTTGAGGGGTACGAGCTTAGATAAAAGAAATACGCAATCAACATGAGGCAGTTAGATGATGCAGGAAAATGAAAGAAAAGATAGAGAAAGGGATGAGAAAAGGCATGCAAAGAGATTTAAGTGCTTTGGCAGCTGTGAACATGATATTTTTAGCCCAGTCTGTGGAACGCCAGGGATAGGGGCGACGAAAGAAAAAGGGATGGCAGAGACTGCACAGCAAACACGACACTGTTGAAGGAAACTGCTTAGGTGGGAGCAGGCTGGAGCTCAAGAGAGTTGTCTAGATTCACCACCAAAGTCCTGTTGTTCTCTGTTGGGAAGTTAATTCTGCGAGCTGTGAAACAGGCAGCGTGGCTAAGCCAGAAAAGTCTGATGTTCAGGTTACCCATTCAAGAATATATTGGATTCAGAGGTGAAGGGCAGTGCACAGTTTATGAGTGAATGGCAGCTTTGAATAACTGCCCTGCAGGGGTATTTTTCCTGCCCTGACTCTTCATCAGGTAGAAAAGCCGGCCGTTTCAAGCAGGTACTTTCCATTCTTAATCCTCTTTAGTGCATTGCCACAGCGCCTGGATTCTCCTTGCGTGTCCAGCATTAGGAGTAGATCTTTTCAGATCTCATTCTCTGGAAAACTGGCAAGTGGTGAGTGGAAAATAAAGCAAGCCGGGAGTCGCAGGGCATTAGAGACACTGCAGTGACAGACAGCAGGCAGCAAAGCAGATGACCAGCAGGAGAACGCTGACTTTTGCTCTTTCAAACTTTGAACCGCAGTAGGGAAGACAAGCCCACATCCCTGTACAGGGCAATGTCCATGCGCTCTGGTTCGCCCTCCATGGAAAACACATTTCTTCGCACTGAGGTCTCTGGAGAGAATCCTGGCGGAGAAAAGAGCAAGGCAAGAGGCACTTCTGTTGTCAAAGCAGAGAGGCCTGAACATCTGAAAGAAAAAAAAATCTGTCATTTTCAAAAATAATAAAGGTGAATGTAAGAAATGTTAAAAAATAATTGTAATAAGGGGAGGAGGTTAAGTAGCAAAAAGAACAGTGAACCAGAGTCAGAGTACCAGCAGATGGATGGGAAGAGGCAGGGAGACGTGATAAGGAAGTGGAGGAAGATAAGCAAAGCATCTGATATCATAAGGGCAGGAGAGGCTGGGAAATGACCCTGTGATTTTTTACAGAATTTACAGAAAACTTTTTGTGCTCAGAAACCCAGAAATATTCAAGGGAAGATAAGAGATGCAAGTCTGGTCTTGATGTAAGATAAGGAGACCCCAATGGTTTTCTTAGGTTGTATCACAGCTACTACAGCTTATGTAAGCGTGACACCCGTTGCCAGGCACATAAGCTGTGCCCCTTTCCTTAAGAACTTTTGTGCACTAGACCTTGATTTGCTGGAGAGCCTCCTCTGAATGCCCCCAAAACGTGTCTTCCCTGAGGGGTTTACACTTAACAGCGTTTTTTCCAGGCCGTAGTTACTACCTATGACGAGGGTTGAGCTTCAGGTGTCTTGCCGGGCTGGAGGGCTGCACGTCGTGGTTCCTCACTGGGGAGCCAAGGCCACCAGCAGCTCCCCCAACCACTGCCTGGGCAGCCCGAGGGCCGCAGCGACTCTCCAGCTTGGTGGGACAGAGGGTGACATGACCATCCCACCAGGACCCATGGCCCAGGGACCGTGATTTGCGCTACGAGTCTGGCCAAATGCCCGCGCTGCGGCGACATGGAGTCTTTCCGCTTTAGCTCACTCGTTTCGGAGGGGTTGAGGCTGGCGAGCGCGCTCCTCTCCTCCCACAGCTGCTCCGTGCCTACAGGCAAGCGCGCGCTGCGCTCGCTTCTGATTTGCTTCCTTTGCAAGTGGTGTCCAGAGAGCAGCACAAAAATACCACCATGGAACAGTGCCAGCTTGCACGTGGCCAGCTAGGAGGTGACTTATCTGGTCCAAGACTTGTCCTCCTTTTTAAAAAAAAAAAAATCCTGCCTCCTGAGACATGACAGCTCCAGATCCGCACGAGGCCTCGTGGCCAGGATCGCGAGGGCAGTTTCCCTCCTCGTGTGCCTGGCAAACAGCACCAGGCTCCCTCACACCACTGGCCCACCCTAATCTTCATTTGCACCAGTCAATAAACAGAGAATTAGCAGCACTTAACTCCATGACCTGCGCAGAGCCTCCGCTCTCCCATCTGCAGCGGATCTGCTCCCAGAGCCAAGCAGCCTGATGACAAATATTTCACTTGTTTTGGGGGAGCTTTATCCCTGTCTGAACAGCAAAATTTCCGTTTCTTCTAAAAAAATAAAAACCCAGATGTGGTTAATAGATGAACACACATAAACTTTTTTTTTTTTTAGTGTGTGAACACACTAAACTTTTTTTTTTTTTTACACTCTGCTTTTCATCCTGGTTTCTCTCAGATCTCACAGGTGGTTTCACACGCAGCCCTCCCTTTGTATTTCCAGTTTTCTGCCCTGCGCCTCCCTCCTTCCTCTGCGCTCCCACTCACCCGGCTGCTCGGAGCCTTGAGTCAGGCACACGCTCCATTTGATTTCAGCTGGATTAGCAGGACTGTCCTTTTCAGGAGCAACAGAGGCAGGTAAGCTTAAACCGCTTGTGAAACTGAATCTCCAAAGCCCGCTCTAATTGCTGATGAATATAGATTTGGGCTTCACTCTGCATGAGAACGGCTAAGGTGGGACAGATGTCTCATCCAGGTGTCCTTGGGAGGGAACAGTATCTTCTGCTGCATGGCCCAGGTGGGAGACTGGCTGTGTTGGCAACTTCTTACATTGCCGCTATTAAATGTGCCGGAGCTGCTGGAGCTCTGTAGGTCAGTGCTGCAGAGGATGGACCTGCTTCCGAGAAATATCTCCCAAGGAAAACCCCTCACAGAGATAACTCGTTCCCATCCATGCTTCCCGGGCAGGAAGGTCAAGGTCACGGCACAACTGCAGTGTGGCACCAGCGTTTAACCAGCCCTACCAGTATGAAGGATATTTTGCCCGGTGACCATTAGGTTGTGCATCACTGACGGAACTATGGGCAGAGTGACTTGGATCGGTTAGCCCCTCACAAAGGAAAAAAAATGAATAAAATAAAGAGCAGTGTTGAGGAACTGTTGGAGAATCATTGCTCAAGTGTTGGTCCATGAGTGTGTTCATGCCAAGAAGGTTTCGGTAGGTGACCAGGTCTGCATGTGTTGCAGATTCATATCCATTTCACAGGTAGAGTGAATTTCAATTTTGGGAGTAGTCAAGTGAAAATATTTCCCAATAAATGGAAACTCCTTAAGAGCCATTTCATGCGGCAGGTTTAAAGCAGCCTCACAAAAGCAGCCAGAGTCTCTGCAGAACCTACAGCCGTTGGCAGCTCCATCTGCTCCTCGTGCCCCGCTCCTCAGCCCGGCCAGTGCCGTTCATTCCCATGTGTCTTGTTGGGAATGGTTTCGGATCTCCAAATCTCACCTGGGGGCTGCATTTTGCTGCACTAGTCGGGAGCTTCCCTGACCTACTTGAGCCCGATGGAAAGGTGCCCTGCACACACCCAACGATTTTCTGCTCCAAGGAGTGGCCACAAATCTTGGGCAAGTTTATTCCAGGCTGGGATTCCTTCCCTGGGTGCGTAGGGCACCACTTAACATGCCTAGGGAGGCTGCACTGCCTACAAGGTAAAGCACTTCCAACACTTTGCCCCGCTAGGCTGCTTGTGTGCTGCGATTTTCAGTATCATCTCCTCTCTCCCCCTGTTGTTGGTTTCTTTTAGTGATTTTATTTTCTTGTCTTACAGGGTTATTACCCAAATAGGCAGTTTCGTATTTTGTTTGTTATCATATGACTACAAGACTCTCTTTGTAAGCTGCAGTCCCCAGGGCTTTCCTTTAGGCAGGCAAAGAAGAGGCAGAATAAGGGGGGGAAAAAAAGTGCGTAAAAAACAAAGGTTTCCCTCCTCCGCACAGCCCTCCTGGGGAGGCTCCTGCAGCTGCTCCGATTTGCGGCTCCCCACTGCCTTCTGGTGGTAAAAATGCAACAAAATCCCCGTCCAGAGAGGCTTTCGCTCCCCGCGCTGGTGCCCAGCACCTGTGCTCGGCGGGCAGCGTTGGGCCCGGTCTCGCACTCCCTTGGTGCCCTCCTCTCCCTGCAGGGACATTTCAATTTCCCATTGAACTTCCCGCTGTTCTCCGCAAAATGAGACTCCATTCTGTGCAAGAAAAGAAGACGGGGAATAAAAAATCGCTGTAGATTTATATTCCAAGGGTCCAATTCCCTCCTCATCTCCGGGGATAGGACTTGTCCCGGGCGTTTCAGGGCCTGGCCATGGCCGAGCGCTCCATGCAGGAGAGGCCCTTGGGGGCTCCCGGCCCCTCGCAAACAGCTCCGTGTCCTGGTGAGTAACGCGCAGACCTTTGGGAAGCTGCTACCTGTAACCTGGCGTTAGCTGCTTAGGAGCGGGGCACGGATTTCCCTTCACAGGTTTTTTTTTTTTTTTTTGGGAGCCAAGGAGCCAGGAGCGAAGGCTTTATGGGATTTGCTGGTGCTCGCGCTTGTGCGAGTAATCTCCTGGGAAGGCATTGGGTGCCGTGTCCAGAGGGGATCCCTCGGCTGCTCGTCCCCTGGAATCTAGAAGCAACAGGGCGCTTCCTAAGGGCTTGTTCAGGCGGAGCAGGGGGCTGCCAGGCTGGGAAGCAGCGGGAAGGCAGCTAAGTGCGCGTGGATGCAGCAGCCGGGCTGCGAACGGGCCTGCTCCCAGCCTGCTGCATGGAATTGTGTCTAGCAAAGGCAGCTTCAGTGGCTCCAACCTCGTGATCTGCCTGGATTTTCCCTGGGAATACTCTGCATTTTCCTGCATGGCTACAGCAGACAAACCCAAGGTAATATTGCCATGCAGTTTGCATTGCGCCCTGATTTCAGTGACTGTGGAGGAAGATTGCTGCTGCTTTAGTCGTGTCAGCTTGGACATGTGCTTGGAGCTGCGCATAGAAAGCGTCCAGTAACAGGGAAAAGGGGTGTGCTGTGGAGAGGAACTGGCCAGTTCTTTTATGAAAACATCTGTGTTGATGTTGTATTTTGTCCCATGAGCTCCCTGAGGCCCAGGGGGCCCAAGACCCAGCCTTGCGCCTGCTGTTGTCCTTGTAGACATCTGAAAACTCTTTCTGATGGATGGTATCTGGACCCTTGGAAGCAGAACAGCAGAGCTACACGTTTACGTGCTTGGGATCAGGAAGTATCCCTGCAGAGGCAGATGCTCCCAATGGAGAAGGCCAAGGCTGTCTGTGTGTTAGCCTGGACATCTGCTCTGGAGCTGCTTGTGCTCCACAAGGTGCAGACGAGGGGCTAGGCGTTGGTTTCTCCCTTTATTAACACTGAACATCTCTGTTCACCCTGACTCGCTTCCAGGGAACTGTGCAGCCCTTCCTCTCGGTATATCCACAGCCTTCATATCTTGCTGCCACTGCTGCTTATTTTATGGGCAAAATAAAGGAAATCACGTTCACTGTTATTTCAGAAATCAAAGATCAAAGGTCTAAACAAGAGTATAAGAACCAAAGAGGATGTAAATGAGAGTCTGAAATCACTGGATTTCCTTCCAACGGATCCAACGGATGTGCTGTTTTTGCTGTTCTTTGCCATCCTGAGGTTAGAAAACCTGTGTTTTCCATGCAGCAGGCTGAGAAACTGGAAATTGCTATGAAAGCATATGTGTAAGAAAGCTGTTTTAATAATGTTTCCAGGGAAAAGGGTGAGTCACGGATTTAAAAGCAGCACTGTAGCTATGTGCAAGCGAAACAAATCCTGCAGTATTCTCTACAGATTAAAAAGACATAGGAGCTTTCTCACGTAGAAACCCCAAGAGAGAGCAAAGGTGGGGATTGATTTCAGAGCTGGTTGGTTATTAAAAAAGCAAACAGAAATTGGGGAACGAGAAGCTTCCTTCGAAACGTGGGCTGAGAGGATAGTGAAAATAACCTACAATCAGTTACAGAAAATGTCTGCTTGGTAGAAGCATGAAAAGAATGGTGGGGTTGCACAAGGGAAACACGGCAGCCTTTGCTCTCCTTTTCAAGTGAAACGGCTCAGAGTTAGATCTTATCACTCAAAGCGTGAATTAATCATAGGGTGAGTATTATAACTGAAAGCAAGAGATCAAATTATAAAGGCAAGCTGCTACCTTAGCTCCGTGGAAACAATAAGAATGAGGAGGAATGAAAAGGCAGGCCTGATTAAGATTAAATTTAAAATATCAGCTGTGCCTCAGGGAATGTTGCCGCTCTCCAACACAAATTCCGGAGTTCAAAATATGGTGGTGATTTATGCTCCTTCGGTTTAGTTTTCCTGCAATAAACGAGCCTAGCTCGGAGATTGAATTCTTCCCGAGCATGTTAACCATGCCAAGACGAACAGCCTTGCAGCTGCTCTGCCCCCTTAGAAACTGCGATTATAACAGCCCACTGAAGTAGCAGATAAGCTCGCTATTTGTTTTACCCTTCCAGTTTATGACATTTATTTGTTTTATGTTTCCCCTTTAGCCTCTGCTTTTCTTCCAAGGGGATTTTTACAATATGTAGAACTTGAATCAGCCAACTGACTTAGTTTACCAAAAAACATAATTAACTTCCTTTGATGTTTTGGGGCAAAAGGTAAATTTTTACCTGCCCATCAGTTCAGTGACAAGAAATTTTCTTCTTGTTGCTGCTGAACGATGTGTGTGCAAAGTGCAAGCAGGCCGAGCTGCAAGCTCTCTGCAGTGCTGCATAGATTGTTGTTAGAGGCAGTTTCCTGATACCTTTTTATGAGACAGCAAAGAGAATCAGATGGATCCTCCTCCCTTCCTGAATAGAAAGATTTTGGACATGAGGCAAACTCAGCAAAATCTCCTTATTGAGTGAAACTTGTTCCTAATTGTTTGCTAGTTGTTAGAAACTGATTACTAGACCAGGGTCCACTTTACATGTCTGCATGGAGTTTTTGATTGTGTATGCATATTTTATATGTATGTGTGTGTGTGTGTGTGTGTGTGTGTGTGTATGATGTTAAAAGTATGTAGGATTAAGAAAGGGGATGTATATGGTAAAGAAGTTTAGTAATATAAAAAAGTTAAATACTAAAAGGGTTTATCATCATGAGGCCTTTGGAAGGAATATGAGCTATTATCATTGGCAAAGAAATAAGGGTTCAGCAAATAGTAGCTGGCCAGGTTAATCTAAGGTAAATATTGAATCTGATAGAAAATATAGCAGAATATTTTCCTTATTGGTTTAGTTAGGTTTGCAGTAACCCCCTTTGGAGGTGGATGTCCATGTTCCACTTTGGATATACCTGGATCGAGCGCTGTGGCTGTTCTGCAGAGTTCTGCCATTCTAACAGCAAGCAGTTACTGGTTTGGGAATGCAAATTAATTTAAATCCTATTTAGTTACCTATGCATAGGCAATATCCCTTTAGTATTATATCGGCAAATGATGAGCAGTCATGTAAGTAAGAGCAATGTTAACTTTCTTTTGTGGCATGTGGCTTAGTGAAAGGTTTTTAAAATAGTTGATGGGACCCCATTGCTCCTCCAGCAGTTGTAGGAATCTGAGATTGAGTTTCTTTAAATATTTTTCTACCTTTATACATACATATACATTTCATTTCTAGTGCTGTCACTCCTGTTGCCAAAAGTTTAGTCTCTTTTGTCCACTTACAGGTCAGGGCAAATTATTCTTTGCTATTTGCAGAACCATAGCAAAGGCCAAACTTAAGAAGGTTATTCTGCATGAGCAGACCGAGACAGTGACCGAAAGGAACAAGCTGTTACATGTAATCAGCAAAACTCCAGAGTGTAGCCCTGGTTTGGGGTCTCTACAGACTCCAAACAAAAGGACTAGATGGCCATGTAAAGCTGTGATGACCAGATCAAAGGCGACAGAGCAGGTTCCTGGAGCTGTGTGCTGCGCTTGGCTGCAGTTCTTGCAACCCGGATCAAATCGGCCTTTTTTCCTCTGCTTGGCTTAGGCAGACAATGCACGGGTGTCTGAGCAGAGGAAGGGAACCATTTAACACAGCTGAGGCCGCTAGCAGATGCAGTTACTCCACCGGCAATGGGATAGCGCGGGGTGAACTCCTTGGTCTACTGCACTTGACTGAGGTGCTTCTGAGGGTGTCGTGGTCGGAGGTCCCAGGGAGGGAACTCACTTGGGGGAGTGGGTGGCTTCCCGCCATACAGTATTACTGGATGCTTTCTGGTCCTATTATTCCCCTACCTGTCCAAATCCCTAGTGTGGTGCTGAGTCTCCCTAAAATGGATGGGCCTGCACTGGGTGCATCTTGCTGGCAGAGGCCCATGAAAACCTGTCAGAAAACCAGAGGCAGCGTAGGACTACGTGTGACAAGATCTACAAGAAATTCCCAAACTACTGCAGGTTATTTCTCCCCTTTTCTCTAGCAGAACTCAAGGGCACAGAAGGCGCAGTTGTAACCAGGAGCTTGAATAGCTGCCCGAAGTCATCTGGTGAATCCTCTTCTTGTCAGAGCACTTATAGATGTTATCCATCACATCCGTAGGCTGGCAGAAGGCAAATAGCCTTGCGCTGTCACATCGCCCGAACTGCTATTTCAGCCTCCCCGTGGTTAAAAGCAAGAGCATGCAGGCAGGTCTGGTACTCAGCAGTGTTTCTGGCTGTTTGTTCTTTTACACAATTGCATCATGCAGTCACCTCACACCCTATAAATAAGCCCAGCTGTTTTTCAAGCAGTCCCCTTGGCCCAGGGTGACATTGGTGACCTCCCTGTGCCTAGCATGCAGCAGCTTCTCCCCTTTAACAAAAGCTGCCTCTTCTTGATGAGCTCGCCAGCCGCTTCTCAAGAGCCTTCCTTGCCTTGGGAAGAGCAGAACTTCCCAGCTCGCAACCCCTGCAAAGTCCTGGATCCCTGCGACACGAAACCCCTCCTGCCAGAGCCAACACTGAGTGCTAGGCAGCGGAGCCCAGTCTGGGCCTGGCTGTTCAGCCGCGAGGCTGGAGGAGTCGCACATGTGCGGAGCGGCTCCCGAGGCCAACGGGCACCGCGGCTCTCGGCGCCAGACCCACCGGCTCTGCCCGGCCAGCTCGGCCTCGGCCAGCTCGGATCGAGCGCTCGGGAACAGAGGCCAGGAGCAGGGAGAGCCAGCAAGCCGAAACTCATCCTCCCCGGGCTTGCCCTCTCGCTCGGGATGCTCCGTGCTGCCTGGTACCGGCCCAAAACTGATGGGAGAGCGGCTCTAGTGAGACTCTCCACTGGAAGCAGAAGGGACAAGGACCCCTTCAAGATTACCTGGGCTTGGCTGTTTGCATAACCCATGTCCCGGGCAGGGCTGGCAACCCCTCAGTTACGGGAAGGGCAGAGCACCCGCAGCCCTCGCCGGCCTGCGCAGGTCACACGAGCCGCGGGCTCCGTGTCCTTCCCACCTCCCCATCCTTTGGATTGCTGCTCGGTGCATCTTCCTGGCCCAAGAGCAGCACAGTTCAAAGGGCAACAGGCCAAATAACTTCCTGCCCTTGTCCGCAGTGTCTTTGTTTGGCTCCCTCAAAAGCTGTATTTCAAAAGCCTTATCGCTGCTGACCACATTGGCTTCACAAAGCACCCTCCTGTCTCCCGCACGCTGGGCGTGCAGCTCCCAACGTCTTCACTCAGCGCAGGCCCCTCGTGCTGCTCGTGGTGGGAGCTGCTCCGTGGCTGTGAACACCCTGCTGCGCAAGGAGCGAGGTGAGGGCAGGAGCCCAAACAGAGCTGCGAGGAGGGCGTCTGGAAGGGAGCCCCTGGGGAGGGTTTTGCAGCTCTTTTCCAGCAGCGAGATCCCAATGCAGGTGCCTGTATGAGAGCTGGACTGCAGAGCACTTCTCCTCCTGCCCATCTCCCCATAAAACACCCCTTCTTTCCCTCCATGAAACTTCTCCTTTCCTCTGACACACCCAGGAGAGGGATTTGGCATGACAAGCTGCTGCACCACCTGCAACCATCACCCGCAGCCTCGTCGCCTCCGCTCGCTGCGGAGCTGCCGTGAAAACTCCTCTCGAAAATCCATCCTCGAGCTGCCCTTGCCGAAGCCCAGCTGCACCTCCTAACATGACCTACGGCCACCATCCGCATCCGCCTTTCTGGCCCCGGAGAGATAAAGCCCCAAAAGGGCCCCCTTTCGCCACTCCTCTGATTCGGGGAAAAGAGAAGCTGCTCTCTGCAGCCTTTTAGGTATCTTGACTTCTTGCCACATCATTATAGGATAATGCAAAGCATGCGTTAACATAAGAGCTGCCAAAAGAGCTTTGAAAGGCCTGATTGTCCCTGGGCAAGGGAAATCCTCCCCCTTCCTGCCCTGAGCACTTATCGCTCCAGCTTCGCCCCTGTTCCTGCTGGCCAGAAGCGCAGTTGCCCTTTGGTGGTGTTTTTTTTTCCTGTTGCTTATTTGTATTTATGACATTTCTGCTGAAAAGGGAACAGGAAAATTGGCAAAACACACAAAAAGAAGTGGCTCTATGCAGCAATATTATGAGACAAGGCGGCCCAAAGCGATTTTAATATTTTTAGCAGATGTTAGCCAGAAGAGAACTGTTATTATTCACTTACATGTGCGAGTGCCTTTTGATGATGAATTGATGGGAACATTCCAGCATTGCTTTTATACTGACACCCTCTGCAGCCAGATCTAATAGGCATCCAGGACACCAAACTGCTTTAGAAAGGAGGGCTTTGAAGGCTTGCAACATTTCTCCAAGTTATCCCTAAACAGTATACTCGCCTTTACAACTTCCCAAAGCCTTGGTTTTCTCCATTGTTTTTAGAATGAAGGGTTTGAAAAGTTTTTCATGTTTTGTCTTTGAAGTGAAGCTTTCCCACCATCACAGGAGAAGCTTCATGTTTCAACGAGATGAAAACTCGGGGGATATCAGAGGGAATTACTGATCCTGGTCTTGTTCCATGCGGTGGTGACATCCACACAGAGGGTTAAAGCAGCTCAGGAAAGGTTGTTTTGGTCCTTGAATATTTTGCTGTGCGTAATGATTTAGGAACAAAGTTTATTTATGTGACCTCTTTGATATGCCACAGATAAGGAAATCTCAGGAATCTGTGCTTTATGTTAGATCAACAGGCTAACACACATCTCCCCGGCGCATGCTGAGCTTCCACACCGAGCGATACCACACATTTTACTTTCTGGAAGGAGGATCCTCTGCACAGAGCAGAGGACACAGCCTGTGGTCGCTCTTCTCGTGCAGAGGTTTCAAGGCCATGGCCAAGCACGGAGGGCTTGGCTCGGAGCCCGCTCCACCGTCCTGGTGGCAGCAGCAGAGCCACAATCACCTCCACCTTTCCCCTCTTCCCAGGAACAGCCAAACACAGCCCGCTTTGTGGTGGCAAGGGCTCAGATTGCCACCTTCTTGCCACATTTTTAGCCTCTCTATTCTAGCTGCAACATCCACTAATTCCAACAATGCACATCTGTGTTATAAGCAAGTCCAGCTGGCCAGGGCGACCCAGGCAGCGTTTTGCAGCTCCAACCGTAAGGAGCTGTTAGTTGGCCAGACTGAGATGCTGTGGGCTGAGCCCTTTCTCATTCTTTGGAACTTAAAAAAAGATCTTCTATGCGGCTTTTAATTCTTTTGAACTACAAAAGCCTATGTGGCTTTCAGAAAAATGCTAACTGCTCCCAACTGCGGTTCCACCGTCGCGACTCTGAATGTACTCGGTGGCTGCAAAGGGACTGAAAGGGGACACAAGGATGAGCTGTGAAGAGATCAGAAAATATTTATCTCTTTATGCAACCGATTAGGAAGGACAAGGGCCTCGCTGCTTCACAGCCGGCGGCTCTGACGCAAAATGTTTCCTCTTTGACTAACAAAATCCACCCCGAAATGTTTCCCCTCTGCTGCTCAGAGGTGCTGTGAGCCGGACAGCTGCTCTTCACTCCCCCAGGCTGGCCACGTTGCTCATTTTTCTTGGGAAGATCATTTTTAATCCAGGCTAGTGTCGCAATCCTGCTCATGCCACGGCCCTAATGGTTGCAATTAGATGGCAGCATGGAGAACCGGTTGCAGAAAGAGGAGGCGACAGCGCGATGCCATCGTGGACAGAAATGCCCCCTCTGCGAGGGGCGAGGATTTTGCAATGAGCTTTTTCTGATGTGCTGACAGCAGCTCGATGCCCTGTTCCCCTTCGCCCGGCTGCGTCTTCCTGCCCCTTTCCTGCCGCAAAACCCCTGGATCAGCGTCTGGGCAGATTCCCATCCACGTCCACCACTCGCTGTCTGCAAATACGTTAGTGTCAGGGCAGGAAGGGGCTCATTCCAACTCCTTGCAAATGCTCCTTGCATTAGGCAAAGAGCTGAGGGAAAATCAAACTTCATTAAGCACTGGGAGACCTCTGCCCTTTTGCCACTGATTCAGGAAAGTCCTTTGTTTCTTTGACAGCCGAGGTAGAGGAAATCAAACCCAACGTTCCTCATATTTCTAAGCAGTTGCTGGAATGGAAATGGTTCCGTTGTGATATGAAACTATAAATCTCACATGTGATGTTTGGAAAATGGGAGCATCTGTGTTTGGTATTTGGAGAGATTCCAAGCGGGAACTTTGTTATTCAAGCCTCTTGGATCCCTTATAGGGAGGCAAAAAGGGAAATAGCTGCTTGTGTCTTAGAAAGTCCACCAAGAACAGCAGAGCTACCATTTAATTTCTGTAAGCTGCTTGAGTCTGGTATGGTTCTCTGTCCAAAAAGAGTTTAATGATCCCTTTGTCTTAACCTGTTTTCCTTTTTTCCTCAGGACTGAGGAGAAAATTCTTCAAATGAATGGAGAGGAAGGAAACCACGCAGGGAGGCTGTCCTCTCCTAGCCGCCCAGTTTTGCCTTGTTAGATGGGCATTAGCAAAGCAGGCTGCTCCCTGCACTCACATGTGAAAGCACCATTGTCTTTGTGCTGCATCCTGATGAATTCTGCAGATTTTTACCCATGCAAAAGCCTCCCTGTTGTTTGCAGCACCAGCGGGATGGAGGCGCCTCGGCTTTAGCGCGGCGAGCGCAGCGGGAGCGCGTTGCTGTCGAGGTTTGCTCCCCCACGCAGAGGCGAGTTCCCCTCTCTTATCTCTCTTGTTAGTTCTCTACAGGCTTTCCCGTTTCCTCATAACACATTCCTGGAAAAGAGAGGGTGGGAACTGAAATACTACTTAAGGCCAATCTCTGTCGCTTCCCACTGCCGCTGTGCTCAGGACAGCAGGCGAGCCGGAGTCCTCCTGGTTTTCTGCATCGCATACGGATCTTCCCTGCTGGATTAGGGCAAACCTTTGCTGCTGGTGGCTGCCACATTAGGAAAGACTGAAGCCGAGCAGAGGAGCTTCTGATCAGGAAATCAGGGTGCGGAAGAGGCAATATGCTGGATCAGATCCATCTGCTGGCTGCTGTGACGGTTTTGGGCGTCCTGGAGCAAGGTAGGGACCATCCTCAGGGCGCGTCCCAGCACGGGCTGGGTCAAGCTGTCGTCTGCCTGCTGATTGCCTCGCACCCTCGTGCTCCCTTTCTGCTGCTGCCCTGCTACTGGCCTGCTTTCAGGTGATGAGCCGGTGAAGGAATGAATTTCATGATTTGTGAAATTCAACAAAATGAGTCTTTGGGACAGCAGTCCTATAGATGTCCTTCCTCTGAACTGGCATCCTAGCATCCTTAATTTTTTTTTTTTTTTTTTAGGAATTTTGAAAGCTAAAACTGGCAGCAACAAAGTACATCTGAACTGTTTAATAATTTCTATCAATAACAGCTGATGTGTTAACTATGTGAGCAAGAAAACAGATATCTGCTGGTTGCACAAGACTGTGCTGCCCTTGCTTGACTGTCATTGTGTCCTTCCCTTTCTGCATCTGAGATGTTTCTGGGATATTCACCCAGCTTTTGCTGTTGATGGGCGCTGAGTTAAGAGGGGGCTGCACTATCCACGTCTGTCCCTGACAAAGTTCTGGTCCAGAAGAGCAAAGCCAAACTACTGACCCAAGCTTTTTTTTTTCTTTCTCACTGCAGCCTACTTCCTCCTCCAGGTCATCCATGCCAGGCGAGCATACGGCATTTCTCCTCCAAAGATCTCAGGCCCACCTGAATTTGAGAGGATCTTTCGAGCACAGTAAGAAATATCTCTTTTAGGGCATTTTTTTAGAGCTTGTGTGCAATCTGCCCTGCAGTGCTGTTCGTTTCTGGCTGGAGTAATTCAGCAGTTACTCGCTTCCCTCAGGGTTACAAGAATGAACCAGTGAGTCAGCTCTGGCACCGTGATGGCTCTTGAGCCCTAAAGACACCGGCCATTGTGGGTAGAGATCATACCAGAAACCCATGCTGTAGAGAGAAGGGCTGTGAAAGACAGAGCTGCTGGTACCTGAGCCTTAGGCTGGTTTTAGGGGCAAGCTCCAGGTTGCTTAGGACTGCTCTCAGCTCCACTCACTGGTATGAACAGGCTCCCGGAGAGCCCTTAGCAGGGATCTGGATGGGATTGCTGGAATCCGACTTCTGTGCCACGGACGCAGCTGCAGAGGGGTGCAGAGAGGGAGAGTTTCTGCTTTGCTTTAGCTGAGCAGTGTGGAGAGGGCAGGGATGGGGACCTGCCCAGGCACCGCCTGCTCTGCTCCTCTGCAGCCTGGACACTCAGCCCGGCCCCGTGCCCGTTGCCTCGGGCGCAGGGCAGAGCCGTGCGGACGGTCCCGGGGCTCCGTCGCGCTCTGCTTAAAGCCCAGGCTGCCGTGGCCTTGTCTCCATGAGCTGCAGCTTCTCCTGACTCTGATCCTGGCCTGTGTGGAGGACCTGGACACTGAGATCCCATCTCAGGACCTTGGGATGCTCCGAGTACCTCATGACACAACCCTGTCCTCCAGCACACGGAGCTTTGGGACCCTGACCTCTCTCCAGTGCTTCCCCCCGGCATCTGCAGTTGAGCCTTTGTGCTTGTTCTGCAGGGCTCAAGCCGCAGCACCTGCGCAGCGGTGCGGGGTGCTCCATGGAGCCACTGAGTGGGGACTGACCTGCTCATTTTGCTAAACGTCCTGCAGTCAGGGACTGGACCTGGAGACCCAGGTCCTTCCACTGTCTAATTCCTGCAAATAAAGATGGGAAGGGAACTGTGAGAAAAGGTGAAAGCCTGGAGGTTTTCTAGGGAGGCATCATCTCCTAAATACAATAGTTTACAGTCTCTGGAAACTGCCAGGGGAGGCAAAAGAAGAAAGATATTCCTCTTCTCCCTTGTTTACAATTTTCCTCTTTCCTGCCAGGGTGAATTCCTCCGAATATTTTCCCATTTTCCTGGCACTTCTATGGCAGGCCGGCCTCTTCTTCCACCAAGGTGAGAATGGTCCGTTAGCTGCTTTGATCCCAGCTCTGTTCCCTCAGCCTGGCAGCAGTGCTGGAGCTGCTTCCCAACAGTAACCTAGGCAGTAATTCCGTTGCTGACGGGACTGTGGAACTGAGGGACACAGAACTTCTCCAGCTCCGCTGCTGGCTACCTGCTTGGTTCACAGCAGCTCCAGAAAGCCTTTGGATTCAGTCACTGAGCTTTTTTGTCTCAAACGTAGGTCTGGCTGCAGCCCTGGGTCTGATCTATCTCTGCTCTCGCTACTGGTACTTTACGGGATACAAGGCATCGTCATCGGGAAGGTAAAGAGCTGCTTGAGTGAGCAGCAGCCTCCGGAGTTTCTCATTTGGGAATGTCATGGGCTTCAGGAAGGGGGTCTCGGGACTCCCCCTGCCTATGTAGGCTGCCTCAGAGCTCCAGACTGAATGGGCTCAGCCAGAGCTGGGCCCTGAGCGCAGCCCGGGATTGGCGCCGGAGAGACGGATACGGGGCGAGAGTGAAGCTGCTCCAAGCCCATGCGGATGCATTGGAGCCTCCGGGTGGGAGCGGGACCCGATGCAGGGGACAGGGGACAGGCAGGGGCTGCCATCGCACGCGCTCCTCTCCGCGCTCCCTGGGGAGGTCAGTGCCAGCCCCGTGCAGGCCGGTCTCAGCGCACGCTCTCTCCTCCCAGGCTCGGTCCCATATACTTCAGCACCGGAGTTCTCTGGGTCCTCGTCGCAGTGGCAGCCCTGGGCCTCTCACATTTCTTCCTCACTCACTACATGGGCCTGAATGTCCTGTGGCTCCTCGCGCTGTGACATACGCGGTCCTCATGGGTGTCCTCTCCTTCGAGTCCTTCAAGTCTCCTTCTCAGTGGTGGCCAGTGACAGGACAAGGGGTAATGGGTGTAAGTTGCAATGCAGGAAGTTCCATCTCCATGTGAGGAGGAACTTCTTTCCTGTGAGGGTGACAGAGCCCTGGAAAAGGCTGCCCAGGGAGGCTGTGGAGTCTCCTTCTCTGGGGGGTCTTCAAAACTCACCTGGGTGCCACTCTGTGCCACAGGCTCTGGGTGTCCCTGCTGGAGCAGGGGGGTTGGACTAGATGATCTCTAGAGGTCCCTTCCAACCTCAACCATTCTGTGATTCTGTGTGATTCTGTGAGTCAATCACAGAGCTCGCCGAAACAGGCACCTTGTCCTGCCCTGAGAGACAAACGCCCCTTGCCCTGCTGCTCGGCGAGGCAGGCAGCACTGAGCTATTTGGGTGGTATTTTTCCCTCCACATCTGGGCATTTGTCTGAAACCAGCTGTGGGCTGGGGTGTAACAAGAGAGGCGAGGGGTGAACTGGGGTGGCTACAAACATATTGATGTCCGGGCCACGTGAAGCACCTGCCTGCGAACCAGCAGCGCCCAAGGCAGATGGTTGATGCCTTTGCCGTGATTCTCACCTATTGTGCATGGGTGACAATGTAAATCAGGCTGAGCAAACCTGTAACCACTATTGCACACACAATTTTGAATACTGCTGTGCCACAACATGTTTGAGAGCTACTGCCAATAAAATACTTGCTGTGCTGTTCATTTCCTCACGGGTCCTCATCTAGAACAGAAATAAAATTAGACTGCGGGCTCGGAGCGCCGGGCAGCGCCTCAGCTTCCCTGCTGGGCAGCACAATGCCGGCATCTCCTCTCCCATGGGAGAAGTGTCTGGAGTGCGGGTAGCAACGAGGTGATTTTCAGAGGTGCTGAGCCCTGAGACTCGGGGCTGGTTTCCTTTGGAGCGGGACGGCGGGAGAATGATCCTTGTGTCGGTGGCACGTGCTCCTCCACGGCAGAGCGGAGAGACCCGGAGCTGCGGGGTCCAGCACTAAGGGATGATAAATGAGGCGCGGGGAGAGTCCAGGCCTCGCCTAAACATGGATGCGCACCCGCACACGCTGGCTGCTCCTCTTCAGCTGCAAACCGGGGCGATGAAGGCGGTTTGTTACCGTCACCCACCGACCCGGCACGGCAGCCGCGCCTGAGGCTTTTCCCTCCACAGCGCCCCGGGAGCGGCGCGTCCCGGGGAGGCGGCAGC